GTCCAGCCACCCTGCTGCTCCCGGAGGAAACCTGGGGCTGGGGGGAGATGGAGGGTGACGGTGGAGGGTGTGCAGGGACCACGGGAGGGCACCCTACCCCCGGCCGGCACCACACAGGTTTTCTGGCAGGAAGATTCAACAAAATGGGGAATTTGAAGTAGATCCTGTGAAGCGGCTGGTGCCTGGACCCAGCTGCAAGAGGCTTGCTTTTGTCACCCCGTGGTGGCAGTGGTGTGGCACCAGATGTGGAGTCACCTCCTTCCCGCCAGCCACCGGCAAAGCATCCCTGCAGCTGGGCTGTGCCGAGGGGCCACGGCGAGCCGGAGCTCAGGGCCAGGAGTGCCAGGAGCCAGATGTGCCCTGGGGAGCAGGGGGATGCGGCGGCAGGGATGCTTAGGGGGACACTGGGGAGAAGGGGAGCAGGAGGACACAGTGGCAGGGATACTCGGGGGGACACCGGGGAGAAAGGGAACAGGGGGATGTGGTGGCAGGGATGCCGGGGGGGACACCAGGGGAGAAGAGGAGCAGGGGGATGCAGCAGCATGGATGCCGGGGAGAAGGGGAACAAGGGGATGTGGTGGCAGGGATGCTTGGGGGGACACCGGGGATCAGAGGGACCCCATGGTCCTGCTGGAAGCAAACTCCCGCAGACGTCCTGGGGGCTTTTATGGGGCAAAAAGCTGATAAAAGCAGCAGGCTGAGCAGGCTGGGAGCCCCAGCAGGGGAGTGACCCCCTAGCCCTCTGCTCCCCTGCCCTGCAGAACGTGAAGGATGATGGGCAGCATGCCTGGAGGCTGAAGCATTTCAAGAAACCCGCCTACTGCAACTTCTGCCGCACCATGCTGCTGGGGGTCCGCAAGCAGGGTCTTTGCTGCTCCTGTGAGTGCTGGACCTCGCCAGACCCTTGCACCCCCAAAACTGCAGCTCCCACCCCATCCCAGCACCCTGGGGAGGGGGGGCTGGTCCCTGTCACTGCCCAGCTCTGTGGGTGCGCTGGGGTGATGCTCACTGTCTTCTCTCTTGCCAGTCTGCAAGTACACCGTCCACGAGAGGTGCGTGTCCAAAGATATCGCCTCCTGCATCAGCACCTACATGAAATCCAAGAGGAACGCCAGCGTGAGTGTGTTTCTGAGCTGACGTGGCTCCCATGGAGCCCTCGGTCTCCTGCCCAGGTCCCCCATGGCTTTTTCCCCTGGGATTTGCCCCAGCATCCTGGGCAGCAGCTCACAGGCATTCCCAGCACCCATCGCCTCCTGCATCAGCACCTACATGAAATCCAAGAGGAACGCCAGCGTGAGTGTGTTTCTGAGCTGACGTGGCTCCCATGGAGCCCTCGGTCTCCTGCCCAGGTCCCCCATGGCTTTTTCCCCTGGGATTTGCCCCAGCATCCTGGGCAGCAGCTCACAGGCATTCCCAGCACCC